GGTCTCGGTGGTCTGTGTCGTACCCGATTCCAGTGAAAAAGTGTGGAATGGGCGTCCGTAGGGAGCCGCAGTCTCTGCACCGTCAATAGGGGATGGTAAAAAGGTGATTTGACCGCCGTCCCATCGCCCTTTTTGCCATACCCTGCCGATCGTGGCTGACGTAGGTGTAACTAGGGATACTTACACGGATGGGACGGCCCGCCAGAGGGGCAATCGAGGCGGAGGCGACGAGAATGCGGGACGAGCCCGGCCTCGGCCGAGGCGGAGAAGGAATGGCGCGTCCGAGGCCTTGCCGGGGGGTCTCGGACGAGGCAGAGACCGAGCAGCTGGGCTCTCCTGCTATTTTCGAGGCTACGGGGACATGGACTCGACCTTCCATGCCGCTTTGTCCTTGGCGCAGGGGTTAGGTAGCACAGGGCAGTATAAGTGTCAGGAGGAAGCACAGTTGAAAGCTCTAGTTTGGTTTTGGTAAATTGATGAAACCCTAAGTGCTAACCTAGTTCATCAAGTGATCATGAGATAGGTAGCACACTTCAAGTAGAGAAGCAAATGAAGATCATAACATGACAATGGTGATAGCATGGAGATGATCAAGGGCTTAAACTTGAAGAGAAGAAAGAGAAAAACAAAAAACTCAAGGCAAAGGTATAACTTGTAGGAGCTATCTTATTTTGGTGATCAAGACACTTAGAGAGTGTGATCACATTTCGGTTTGATAGCCGTACTATTAAGAGGGGTGAAACTCGTATCGGAATGCGGTTATCAAAGTGCCACTAGATGCTCTAACTCATTGCATATGCATTTAGGATCTAGTGGAGTGCTAACACCCTTGATAATATTTGTGTAAATATGCTACCACATGTGTACAAGGTGTTTGTAGGATCTAGTGGATTCGGCGCTTTCGGGAAAATGAAATGTCTATTTTCTATTGCGCCGGATGCAAAATTCTTGGTGGTTGGCACTCTTGAGCAAGGGTGAAGAAGAGTTGAAATGGAGTTGATCGAAATGATGCTGGCGTTGGTCTACTGACCGGACGCTGGGTCACTCAGCGACCGGACGCTGAAAGGCTGCGTCCGGTCGAGCTGTCAAACGGCACAGTGGCTAGGGTTGAGCACCGGACGCTGGCTGTGTCCGGTCAAGGTGGACCGGACGCGTCCGGTCAAAAAAACATGCCTCGGGGAGCTTACTGGAAACGACCGGACGCTGGGGCTTCAGCGTCCGGTCAGTTTTATCGGAGCGTCCGGTCAGCGTCATAGCCGTTGGAATCTGACGAACAGCGTTTGAAGCTGGTGACGCGTGGCGTCCATCGGGCGACCGGACGCTGAGGGCCAGCGTCCGGTCAGTATGACCGGAGCGTCCGGTTAGAGCGCATTTTGCCCAGTGAAGGGGTATAACGGCTCTATTTGATTGGGGCTGTATTTAAGCCCCATGGCCGGCTGTGGCTCACATCTTTGGCCATTTCTACTGACATAGCATACTTGTGAGCTTAGCCAAAGCCCTCCCACTCATCTACATCATTGATTCATCATCATAGTGAGATTGGGAGTGAATCCAAGTGCATTGCTTGAGTGATTGCATCTAGAGGCACTTGGTGATTGTGTTTCGCTGCGGATTTCGCTTGTTACTCTTGGTGGTTGCCGCCACCTAGACGGCTTGGAGCAGCAAGGATCGTTGAGTGGAGGAGGTGATTGTCTCCGACTCCGATCATGGTGATTGTGAGGGGTTCTTGACCTTTCCCCGGCGGAGCGCCAAAAGGTACTCTAGTAAATTGCTTGTGGCTTGTGTGATCCTCATCTTGTGTTGGTTGTGCGGCACCCTATTGAGGGTTTGGCGAGTGATGCCAATCAGCGCGTGAACCTCCAAGTGAGTGAATCGCCACAACGAGGACTAGCTTGCCGGCAAGCAAGTGAACCTCGGTAAAAATCATTGTGTTCATCATTTGATTCCGAGGTGATTGGTCTACATTGGTATTCATTATTGTGATTGATTGGTTCCTACCACTACACGGCGGTATAACTCTCTTGCTCACTCTTACATTACCGCAAACTAGTTATCAAGCTCTTTAGTGTAGCTAGTTGTGAGAGCTTGTTTGTTTGATTAGTGTTGCTCTTTAGTTAGTCTTTGAGAGCACACTAATTCAGCTAAGTGTCATAGCTATTGTGTGGATATACACTATTCGAAATAGAATTGTGGTAGGTGGCTTGTATTTTAGTAGGCTAGCGCAACACTCGCTTCGCCGCAAAATTGTCTAACACATTTTGTTAAGTGTTGTTGTAGATTTTTATTAGGCTATTCACCCCCCCTCTAGCCATTAGGACCTTTCAACAGTGGTATGTATAGTGGCAGGTAACCCCTGCTGTGCCCGGTTCCTGTCCTGTCAGTTGTTCTGCCCGCACTGTACCTGCGTGCGGCTGACGTTTACGGGAGTGGTTGGGTGCATTTAATCCGGACGTGACGTTTTGCCAGAGGAGTTCGGTCAGGACGGAGGTTACGAGTACGTCCGCCGAGCCCGGCCTCGAGCGAATCGGAGAATTGGAGATCCGTCCGAGGCCTTTCGGGGCGAGGCTTTGGCGAGAGGGTCTCGGCGAGAGGGCCTCGGCGGGATGTTTTAGGCCTGTTTCGCACGAGGCCTCGGCGCAAGGCCTTGGGCGAATCGGAGAATTCTGCCGAGACCTTGCAGTAGTCTTTTGGCTTTGGTTTTAGCAAGGCTTAAGCAATATTCTTGGATCTTGCTTAGGGTACCTCTTCTTGTGGTATCCGACATCATCCATCTCATCAAAGTTTAAGTCTTCATCTTTACTTGATGATTCTTGTTTTGCCTTGCCCTTGGATGATGTGGCCTTGAATGCCACACTCTTCTTCTTCTCCTTCTTTTCTTCCTTCTCATCATCATCTCTATATGTATCATTGTTCATTATATCTCCCAACACTTGGTTTAGTGTCATGGTGTCCAAACCACTATTCCAGCTTCGCCCACAACCTTTAGCTGTGTTAGCAACATTTGATGGTGACACAGCTTGTAACAGATTCTCACATGAAATATTTTTCTTTTTGCAGGCTGATAAGAACAATTCCCTTTACTCTTTACATCTGAAACCACAACAGAGCCTTAGCAGGTTGTTTGCCCATTTATCCTTGACTTCATTTTTAGTTACAAATACATTACCACAAGCAATTATACGGATTACTGTGGTTTTGTTTTCATAGCACACAGAAACCATTAATTTTCTACAATAGATGATGCAGCGACATTGTAACTGCATTGCAGTAAATAACCTTATTTTTCCTACAATATATATGTCCATTTTTGATTGAATAGAATTCAGTGTCCATTTCAAGTTACGAACTTCGACAAGATTAGTTAACAACAGTCCTCGATGTTTGCTTGAGCAGAATGTTCCTCCCTGCCTTTTAGCCTTGTAATCTACACTTCAGCCTAAAAACCACTCAACCAACATGCGTTACATTTTGTCACTGTTCTTTCCTCGTTGTTGAATTAACATTCTGTATGAACATGTCAGCTCTTGCATTCTTTTCCATACACAATTACCTTAAAACCATGACTGAAGATGGATTCAATGATGCCCCTGCTCTTGAACTAGCTGACATTGGTATAGCTATGGGCGTTGCTGAAATGAGTAAATACTTAGTTTCCAATCTTATTATGTCCACCTTACATCACTTTTTAGTTTCCTATACATAGATCTACCACTCTTCTCAATTGTCGTATTATTTCGGCTTGAGGAAGCCTGTAAAATTATTATTATTTTTACGAAGTGCAATTCCAAAGAATGGTTTTATTGAAGGGAGTGTGGTGTAGGTTATCAGAGAATGATTGTTTCTTAGATTTGCTGCTTTTTAGATAGCCAAGAGACAATGCTTAAGAGCATCAACTTTACTCTAGAGATTTACTTCCTCCTCTAATCCCCCATTCTTTGCTTCTGTTTCGTACCAGAATAGGTGCTGCTGAAAGTGAACAGTTCTTACCGGCAGCCCAGTGGTGTGGTCTCCAGCTCATGGATCTCATCATTATTGTGTCCAAGGTGTTTGATCAAGCACCAATAAGTTGGATTTATGTGAGATTAAACTGTAAGAACTCATTCAATTCATGATTCTAAGACATAATAGTTGTACATGAACGTAACTTTGAAAAGACCTGAGACACCTGCATTTGTAGAGTTATAAATCTGATGAATTATTATCTAATATAGGATGTTGCGCGAACCTCAGCTATTTTGGTCACATGTTACTGTCGAATGTTAAGATCATGCTACAAATGCAGTAACAAATATGGATCATAGTATAAAAAATAACCCTCTTTCTAATGGTACAGATATGGGTCAGCAGAACCCAAGTAGCTGCCAGTCTACCTCGACATCTCAAACCTATGTATATAACACCACCTCCAGGACAAAGCATGGCAACACGTTTATGGACTTTTAGACGTTTTCACTCCTGTGTACACTGCATGCTTATCTTAGAATACCTCTACTTTTAGACCCTGTCTATTCTCTCTTTGTATCGTAAATGTAAGTACGGATCTTTTACTCAAGTATTGCTTTAATCCATCATGCCCCGTGTTACTGTCTATCATTTGATCGCGATGATGACCATGATCTGAAAACATACAGGCCCACCTTGTTCCGTCTTGTTTACATTTGGTCCGTGCTTATTACAGGCGGTGATTTTAAATGCAAATTAGGACATGCTGCTCATGAAACCTACAACTGCTTCTTATGATGCCAGCTTCAAAATGCATTGTCAGCCTGATGTATCTTATGAAATTAAATATGGCTTCACCCTATGCTATTGTGCAATCTCCTTTATGTATAAACTGCCCTGTAGCTACCAGCACGCAAGGGCGCGCGCCTTCCACTAGTCGTATATGTATTTCATCACGTATGATTGTTACCGGTTTGATATCTAAATCCTAGCTCCCTTCGCCCCTGACCACACGGCACTGACGGCCGAGAGAGTCTGACCTATAGTTGTAACGGACAATGACGGATGAAGAAAATACAGATACAGCTGAGAGCAGATTTTTACTTTCCCCTGAGTGGCAAGCAAAGCGCGTCTGGAGGAACGTGGTGCGAACCACACAACGCTTATCGGCGACGGAAGGCAAACAGTCTGTTCTTGTGGTTAAAAATGTACGCTAAAGAAATAGAAGCCCTTTTCTTTTCCATCTGTAAAGAAAAGAATAAGAAGAAAGATCTAGCTAGGTAGCGCTGCTTGTAGTATTAATTCCGTCGTCCTCCACTTTATCTGCAGCGACCCAACCCAAGAAAGTCCTCTCCTATTCTTCCTGCCTGTCCTGTGTGCCCCCGTCTCCGTGCGATCCTCCCAAATCTTTAGCTCACGGCTGGTGTGCTGCACTGCAAACCAGCAGCCCCTGCAGCCTGTGCTGTTCATGATGCCGCGAGCCTTGAGAGAGAATGGGGCCACTGCTGTCTCCATGGCCGCGATCTTCTCCACACTAGTCGTAGTGGTAACGGCGACGCTGAGCCTCAAAACCAAACTCATGGCCTTGTCATTGGCATTGGGTGGCCTCTACCTGGTTCAGCGTGTCCTGGTGGGAAAGCGCCGTCGCTCGGGGCACAGGCTCGTCCAGTACGGTGCAATGGCAGCCTACTATCTTCCCGCTCCTCTCGCATTTTATGCTGCCAAAGCTGTGTACTCCACGTCCCACATCGATGAATCTACCCCTTTCCTCGTGGCCGGCGTCCTCTTAATATTGAGTGTTACAGTTCGAGAGGATGTACTGCTGCTTGTCACCAACATGAGAGCCTATTCTCTCCACTACCATCCACGAGATGGTTACAATTATCTCATGTGGCTAGTCTTCCTTGGTTGGGTATATTTGGAATGGGCTCGGATTCCAGTTTGCAATCGCAACTGGTGTTGGTGGCGATGGCTGGTCGGACTTCTGCAGATGGGTCTACCTTTTCTCGTGTTTTTAAGTATGTTTGTTGATACATCAGACTCCACCTTGGATTGCCAGACCAAAGCAGTTGCTGACTACATGAAGCGGGAGTCCAGCAAGTCGTCAACAAGCTCACCCTTCTTTGATGATGATGATGATGCTAACCGCAACAGCAGTCTGCTGCTGCTGGATTGTTGCAGATATCCCTTTGTGCAGGGGGGAAATGGGGAATGGGTCACTGTCAAAGATTTGGTGCAGCGAGATGACCTGCCGAATGAGGACAAGGACATTTGGCTCTCCTACAGCTTGTGCCGGCTTTTAGCAAGGCGCTACTATGGGTTCCACTGCGCAGAAGGAGATGACAAGGTGCGCCGTCTTCCGCTGGCGGACCTGAGAACAACAGATGGATACAAGAGGGCATTCACCATTGCTGAGGTGCAGTTGGCTTTCCTTCACGATTACTTCTTCACCGCCTCCCTCCCAATCATAGAATCAGGATTGAAGTACATTGATGCTGCACAAAAGTTAATGGAGGTATTCACAATGATCATTTCAGTCTTGTCTAGTGCCATTATTCCAATCGCCCCGATTGCAACGTTTATGTCATTGTGTACACTATTTGAGACCCCAATGTCGTTGTTGGTTAAAAATCTTTTGGCCATCTATTGGCGTCCAATACACACTGCTTTTTGAAAACTCAATGGTCTCCCCAACGACCGCCTCATCATCATCCGTTTTAGGCCTAATCCTAATGCGCGGGATGTTTTTGACCCGTTTCAAGCTCAAACGGGTGGTGCTTACTGGAGGAACAAAATAGGCCAATACTCAATTCTCCAAGACTACAACCGTCGTCCCTCTCCCAAGAAGGCACTTGTAGCCTGGTTCCACGGAATTGTGCTATCCCAACCATCGTATGGGTTCATCAATCATCTCCCAGTAGAAGAAGAAGAAGTCGATATGCTGTAGCTGGACAACATGAGAGAGTTGGTTGCCGATACTCTCCGAGATATAGATGGCCCGCCAACAAACGGTACCAGATCTCTGAAGATTACCATGGATCAGATAAACTGGGACGAGATAAGCAGGGGCAGTGCTGGTTATGACTGGTTATTGACCTGCAAGCAAGAAACTCACACGGACACCATCCTCATATGTATGGTTGAAAACGGTCGGGATATATCCCGTTCCGTTCCGCCCCGATTTCTACATTTAACCCGATCGTATTCGTATTTTCGGACAAAAACGGAATCGGTACGGAAAACGGGACACGAAATTCGAAATCGGGACGAAATCGGTTTGGGCCCTATCCCGATCGTTTTCGCATATCCCGTTTTTATTTTGGGATATCCCGTATACGCAAAGCGGACATTCCGAATTTACTTCTTACCCAGCGGAGCGGCCCAGCCAGCAACTCGAGCAGCCAGCGGAGCGGCCCAGCCAGCGACTCGAGCAGCCAGCGGCCCAGCCACAGCGAGCGACTCGAGCAGCCAGCGGCCCAGCCAGCAACTAGAGCAGCCAGCGGCCCAGCCAACAACTCGAGCAGCCTGGCCCAGCCAGCAACTCGAGCAACTCGGGAAGTGCTGCTGAAATATAACCTGTTGGCTAGCCCAAATATCTCTAAATATTTAGACCTGTTGCCTATTTATCAATTGTCATGCTGAATTGGTGATTTGTGTATCAATGTATGTGTACAAGTGAATTGTGCATGACCATGTGTGGTTGTGTCGGACTGTCGGTACCGGACTGTTGGCATGTTGTCATGCTCAACTAGGTTCTACGGGCCGGTGTTTCCGTTTTGCTTTTCGTATTCCGACCGTGTTCGACATGTTCCCGACCGAATTAGTTCGTTTTCGATATCCCGTTAGTTCGTTTTCGTGTTCGTTTCCGACCTTCCCGAATTCGATTTCGTTTTTGTATTGAAATGTAAAAGTGAAAACAATATTGGGGTTATCCCGACCGAGTTCGGCCGCTTTCAACCCTACTCATATGGCACATAGCAACCTGCTACTGTGACATGTCACTGCGCCATTGTGATCAGCAGGAAGGGTTCCCCCGATTAGCCGACACCGACACTTTCCATGAAGTTGCCACAACATTGTCAAGGTACTGCGCCTTGTAAGAGGGAAATAACGAATGGCAGACAACTCAAGTTGTATTGCTCAAAGGCTTACGCCTATATACAGGTACATCACGGTTGAGATTAGCTACAAACAAGGAGAGCCTTAGGTCGTGCAGAACATAGAGAAAACTGTTCGCTAACACCCCCCTGCAGTGTGAGCGCTGCTGCGGCGACGACAGATTGTTCCGAACTCCTTGAAGCTCGCCGTCGGTAGTCCTTTGGTCATCACGTCGGCGAAGCTGCTGCGTCGTGGGTACTGGAAGAACCTTGCATTGGCCAACGGCAACTTTCTCCCCGCACAAAGTGCACGCCGAGCTCGATGTGCTTCGTTCTTTGTGATGCACCGGATTGGAGCTCATATAGCAAGCCGAGACGTTGTCGCAGAAACATGATCGTGGCCTTGGTCGCTGGACAGTCCAGCTTCGCCAAGCAACCGCCGGAGCTAAGTGCATTCAATCACGGCATTTGCGACGCCATGCAGGTACTCTTCGCCGCGCTGGATCGGGAAACTGTTGTTTGTCGCTTGAGGACCACGATATCAACGAGTCCCCCATGAACACACAGAAGCCCGATGTTGAGCGCCGCGTGTCGGGACACCCCGCCCAATCAGCGTCTGAGTAGGCGGTGAGATCGGACAGGTTAGACCGACGGAGATGAAGGCCGAGCGCCGTAGTCCCGCGGATGTATCGGAGGATTCGCTTGACAAGTCCCTGATGCGCTGTGGTCGGAGAGTGCATGTGGAGGCATGCCTGCTGGACGGCGTACTTCAGGTCCGGCCTTGTCATGGTCAGGTACTGAAGGGCCCCGACCATGCTACGATAGTCGGAGGCGTCGGCAGACGATAGAGGACTGCCAGCAGCACCGGATAGTTTGCCGGCAGTGTCGATCGACGTGTCGCTGGGGCGGCAGTCCGCCATGCTGGCTCGTTCTAGCAGGTCCATGGCGTATTGTTGCTGCTGAAGAAGGAAGCCGTCAGAGCGCCGGGTCACCTGAATGCCAAGGAAGTAGTGCACCGGCCCCATGTCTTTGAGCTTGAATTCAGCATTGATATCGTGGATGACGCGCCGCAGGGTGTCACTGGAAGAAGACATGAGCACGATGTCATCGACGTATAGCAGCAGGTAGACGGACTCCTTTCCTTGTCGAAGCACGAAGAGGGAGCTGTCGGATCGTGTTGGCTGGAAGCCTATGGTGCCGAGAAAGCTAGCCAGCCGCATATACCAGGCCCTGGGCGCCTGCTTGAGGCCATAGAGGCTCTTGGAGAGTCGGCACACCAGATTGGGGTTGTTGGTGAACCCAGCAGGTTGACGGGCGTACACCTGTTCGTCGAGGACGCCATGAAGGAAGGCGTTGTTGACGTCGAGCTGGTGCACAGGCCAATCACGCTGGGTAGCCAGAGTTAGCACGGTGCGCACTGTCGCCAGTTTGACGATGGGACAGTACGTCTCACCGTAGTCGACGCCCGCGCGTTGAGTGAATTCGCGAGCCACCCAACGTGCCTTGTACCGATCGAAGCTCCCGTCTTCCTTGAATGTGTGACGGAAGATCCATTTGCCGCTGACGATGTGGGCGCCGGGTGGGCGAGGAACTAGTTCCCACGTGTTGTTGGCGATCAGAGCATTGAACTCGGACTGCATGGCTGCTGTCCAATTGGGATCCTTGAGCGCCTGATTCACCGTGCGCGGGATCGGCGAGATGGTCGTCGTGGTTACTGTCCCGGCGTAGCGTGGGTTGGGCTTGAAGATCCCGGCGCGCGCCCTGGTCAGCATGGGGTGCGGTACATGAACAGCGGGTGCCTGGGTAGACGAGGAGGAGCCGGTGGCCGCGTCCGGCGATGAAGATCGCAGCCCTGTCAGGGACGCGCGTGACGCAGAGGTGCCGTGGGACGGCGTGGACGATGGTGAACGTGACACGGAGGAGGAGGGCCGTGGCGTGGAGGCGCCGGTTGAAGCAGCTGTCGATGGTGACCGCGGCGACGATCCGTCGGACGGAGCTGGGGAAGCAGTCCGGGGCGATCCTTGGTTCGCGCACGGTGTCCTGCGTGGCGAAGCCGGTGGGGAAGTCGGGAGATCCGCAGTCGTGCTGCGTGGATCAGGCCGCCACGGATCATAGGCGATGGTGGTTGGGGAGGCAGACGATGATCCTGAGCGATACGGGAAGACACCTTCGTCGAAGTAGACGTGGCGCGAGGTGATCACTTTGCGCGTCTGCAAGTCATAGCACCGATATCCACGATGATCCTACGAGTAGCCAATAAACACACACGCCACAGATCGTGGAGAGAGTTTGTTAGGGCTGGTGGCTACGGTATTTGGGTAACAAAGGCACCCAAATACTCGCAGGGAGGTGTAGTTAGGATCAGTGTGATAGAGAAGGGAGTAGGGAGTGGACAGGGAACGTGGCTTGCACGGTTTGCAATTGTGTTGGTAAGTGGATGTGTGCAAAGCCTCGACCCAAAAGATAGGTGGGAGGCCGGCGTGCAGAAGCAGTGTACGAACGCCGTCGTTTAGAGTGCGCAGCACACGTTCCGCTTTGCCGTTTTGTTGCGAGGTGTAAGGGCAAGAAAGTCGGAATGAGATGCCATGCTCGGAGTAGAACTGACGGAGTGTGGAGTTATCAAACTCCCGGCCATTGTCAGTTTGAAAAGAGCGGACACTGCTCCCAAATTGTGTGCGAGCAAGGGCATGGAACGACATGATGTGTTGGGCAACCTCAGATTTGCGGCGCAAAGGGATGGTCCAAACAAAATGCGTGAAATCATCCAAGAGCACAAGATAATACCGAAAGCCAAAGAAACTTGCAACCGGTGACGCCCAAACATCGCAATGAATTAATTCAAAAGGTGCAATTGTTTTATGTCAGGATCGTGAAAATGGGAGATTTAACATGTTTGCCAATCCGGCAAGCATGACAAGTATGAGGGAGATCTTTATTACAAGAGAATGCAAAGGACCGAAGAAGACGACGGAAAGACTCGCGCCCGGGGTGTCCAAGTCGTTGGTGCCACAGGTCTGCAGAGAGGGCGGTGAGGCAATGGGTGGGTGCAGCGGCCATCGGATGTAGAGGATAGAGGTCGCCCTGGCTATCACTGTGGAGAATCACCTCCCGGGTGTGTCGATCCTTGATAGAGAAACCACAAGCGTCAAATTCAACAAAGTGATAGAGGTCGCCACAGCTATCATCAGGGAGAATCACCTCCTGTGTGTGTCGATCCTTGATAGAGAAACCACAAGCGTCAAATTCAACAAAGGATAGGATTATCACGCGTGAAGAGCGCCGAACGGAAATAAGATTCTTGATCAATGATGGAGAGATAAGAATGTTGTTAAGTAATAGAGAGGTGGAAGAGGTGGGTATGGAAGAGGAACTAGTGTGGGTAATGGGAAGAGAGGAGCCATTACCAACAATGATCCGCGTTGAGGAGGAATTGGGAGAGAGGGAGGAGAGGTTACCGGAGCCTTGAGACATGTGGGAGGAGGCGCCGGTGTCAAAGAACCACTCGCCGGTGGACTGAGGCTGGTGCAGCGATATGTTGTTGAGAGTGGCGAGGAGCTGCGGGTCCAGCGGAGAGGAAGTGCCGGCGACATGGGCTTTGGGGGTTGTGGCAGGAGGTCTAGGGCCGAGGACGCCTGCCGTTGGAGCGCGTGGGGCCTGGAACGGCCATGCCTGGACCATGCCAGTCTAGGGGTTCATGGAGGGCCAGAAGACCGGTGGTGGAGCCTGGGAGGAAGGCGCACCCTTCTTCTTCTTTTTCTTGGCGTTGGAGGAAGACTGGAACGAGCGTCCACCAGAGGCCGGGGTAGCAGGAAACGTGGCCGGCTGTTTCCCGACGCCAGTGCCCTGCGACGGGTGCGCGTTCGGGGCGGCATGGGTGACGAACGCTGCCGCAGCCTGAAGATGTGCAGCCGTAGGTGGTGCAGGAGGCGCACTGGACGAGGTGGAGCTGGCGGTTGCGGCTTGAGCCACCAGCGCCGCCGCGGCCTGTATCTTCTCGGATTCGGCGTTGCGGTGTTCCTCGAGCTGAAGCATGGATCGAGTCTTGAGGAACGACGGCAGGCGGCGACGAAGAGTGATGTGCGGGATCGCGTGATGAAGACGGGGGTTGAGGCCACGCACAATGTTGTAGATGAGATCTTTGTCGTTCACCGGAGCGCCGAGCCCGGCCAGCCGATCCGCCATGACCTTCATCTTGGAGCAGTAGTCGAGGACGGGGAGATCGCCTTGGTAGAAGTTGTGGAATTCAGCACCAAGGTAGACGGCACGAGTGTCCTTGTTGTCGCGGAAGAGGTTGCGGACGCCACGCCAGAGGGAGTAGGCGGTGTCGGCGTCGCCGGAGACCATGGACAGGAGCTCGGGGGAGATGCGGTTGTAAAACCACGACACGATGGCGTAGTCATTCCGCACCCAATCGTTGTCGCCCTTGGCCGGGGTGCCGTCGACATGGTCGTGGAGACCGTATTGCCCGAAGACGGTAGAGAAGGAGCGCGCCCAGGCGACGTAGTTGGCGTCGTTGAAGTCGAGGACGAGCGGGACTCGCGACTGGATGTTGATCCCATGGACAACCTTCGGAGCAGCAGGTTCGGTCTGGACTTGGAGCAGGTGGGGAAGCACGGACTCGGCGTCGGAGTTGTCGGAGGTCGACGAGGAGGAGGAGGAAGAGACCATGGCGGCGGCGAGCGATTGGTGGTGAGTGGGCAGCGGAAGAATCGGATCGAGGAAAGCCAGATACCATGTAAGAGGGAAATAACGAATGGCAGGCAACTCAAGTTGTATTGCTCAAAGGCTTATGCCTATATACAGGTACATCACGGTTGAGATTAGCTACAAACAAGGAGAGCCTTAGGTCGTGCAGAACATAGAGAAAACTGTTCGCTAACACGCCTACCTAGTGTTTCAAAGAGTCTTGCAGGAAGCACAGCAAGAACTAGGAACAAAGCCAATGAAGGACGAGGAGAAGCGAACCAAGATCCGAGGGCTACAGCTACCAGACCAGCAGGAGCAGCAGACGACCTTTCACAAGGGTGTTGAGCTGGGGCAACAACTGGAGATGATCGATGACGACAAGGTACGCTGGAGGTTCATTGCAGAGTTCTGGGCGGAGACAATCATGTACGTCGCGCCGTCTGAGAACGCGGAGGCACACATCGAGCACCTGGCCAAAGGCGGGGAGTTCATCACGCACCTCTGGGCCATGCTCTCCAACGCCGGCATCGCGAAGTGCGCAACAGGGGAATGGCATCCGCCTGCTTCCACTACCAAAAAGTAAGCAATTTGTGAGCTACAGGGCTAGCCATGGGTGCTAATTAAAACACCCAGCTTGTTAATCTTTTGTACTCAAGCCTCCAACTGGTGTGATGTTAGGTCCTGCAAATTTTGGTTTTTGATTTTGTTGGTCCATTCTATTTAGCTTCATATGGGATTTTTTTTTTTGCTTATAATGGAGAGGACCACCAAAGAAGATAGAGACCACCAAAGCAAGAACTCAGGAGTGCCCCTTTTAATGATGGGTGTTAAGGAAAAAGCAAGCTAAAATTAAGGCTATTTCACAGACCTGCAATGGCCATTAGAAGCAAAGAAACTTGATGGTTCTAGCTCTGCAGTGAGCACAATAGTGATCAGCATGTGCTTTTGTGCTTAGTTAATCCTACTTATTACCTTTTACTGAATCTGGTGAATCATGCTTGGACTTATGTGACCATGTTCCGAACTTGTAGTGTTGAACTTCTTATGTTGTGTTTCAGATCAGTTTGTCAACTATGTGTTGGGCCGGATGTTGGGCTTATGTATTGGCTTTATTGAACATGTACTATTGAACCTAGCTGTGTTGAACATGTTCTCTGTAATCAAGCTGTGTTGAACATACGCCAGATGTTGGCCTCATGTATTGGCTTTGATTTGTTGAAATGTGCTATTGTACCGGCAAAATATTCAGTGCAAACCACATCTTCTGTGCAATCCGTGAAAACCCCATTAAAACCATACTTAGGAGTTTTCAAAAAATTTGAAACTACGCATACCAATAGTGCATCTATAAACATACATTGTGACAAAATTTGAGATTCAAACTCATTTTGCAAAAATTCATATGAAAATAACAAATTTGATTTGCATCTATGGAATCAAGCCGTGTTCAACACTTCAACTTGTTATAGTTGTGTGATGGTTGATGATATATATTATTATTATATATTATTATTACAATATCTTGTCTATGCTACAAAAATGTTCTTATATTTACCAATCATGTATGCTTGGTTTTGCCAACTGGGACTATAGAGAAGATAAATCTTGCCATTGATGTGGAAACAAAATGAGAACGTGACGTTTACATATTTGTGAAACAAATGACACAGTTGGTGAAAAAAGATTCATTGTTGTGCTAAGAATCCAAGCTGGGACAAAATCAAATTGACTGTAGGGGTAAATCCATCCTTCCACTGCTACTATACAGTCCAATTAACAACAGTGTCATACATGACATAAATATTAAAGTAGATGTCAAATAAGACATAAATATTAGCCTGCCATTGGTAGAGTCGTAGCGAATGTCAATGTGTGGGCTGTTATTAGGCTGCTTTTTTTTTTTTGAGAAAAGGCTGCTTGTTACTCATGTATACTCAAGCCTCCGGCTGTGATGTTGGGCTGTCAGGCCCATTTTGCTTTATAGGGCATTTTTTTCTTTTTATGTAATTCATGAATTGTTTGATCTAACATCACTGCTCTTTAAAAAATGTTTCTTCCATATACTCTTGTCAGTTTGTTAGTCACAGCTTTTGTAAAAATCTTAAAATGACATTAAGTATACAAATCGGTCTATATTGATATAAGGGGAGCACTATATTTTTTATGGTATACGGGGAATTAATTTAGAAAAAAAAAACTTATAGGTACTTCCGGAACAGTAATATGTACAGAGTCACAGACTATATGTTGCAAGTTTGTAAAAACCTTAGCAGTGGCATGCTAAGCCTATGCTCTTGAAAAATATATATACACATATTTTTGCTTGCATGGGTGAACCGAACCAGTTCTCATTCGCCATTTTCCCCAGCTGCATGTATGTACATATTAACATACAGTACTCTCATCCCACGTAATTAATGGCTAAAAAAACACACAAAAACTCGATCGGACATACTGCTGGACCTAAAGGATGAAGTACTGCTGCTTATCGTCCAGCTGCTGCTTGCCGCCTGATGATCTCCTGATGCCGCGGTCAAGGCCACCACGCGCGGCCGCGGACGCGGACGACGACGAGGCGGAGGGCGAGGTGGTGGTGGGCGCGCGGAAGCCGATGTTCTCGACGGCGCCGACGGTGTTGAAGAAGAGGCGGCGGTTGAGCTCCTCCACCAGCGTGCGGTGCAGCAGCTGGCTCCGCATGTCCACCATCGACCGGTTCCGCGTCATCCTCCTCCGCCGGCTGGTCCCGTCGTTGTCCTCCCGCCGCCGCGGCCGCCCGGCGTGCTGGTGCTGCGGCGACATGCTGCACTGCCGCTGCAGCTGCCGCGCGAGCTGCACGGCGGCGGAGCTGCTGCCACCGCCGCCACCGAACCTTGTCTTGGATGAGCCGCTGCCGGTGCAGCAGCCGGGCATGGGCTCCGCCTCGTCGGCACATGAGGCGTAATGCAGAGGAGAGTAGTTACCGGAGTGCACGGAGCTCATGTCATCGTCGTCGCTTAAAGCGTACCAGTGATGATGATCTACACCAACAAAGTTTTTTCAAAAAAGAAAATGCACACGTGTCAAGGCTCAATGTCACAGCACTCTCCCGTGCATGTGTGCACACTGTGTCATGTATGTACGTACAGTTGTAAGCATCTAGATACGATCTATGTCCATATACATAATAAAGTTATATTATATATCTAAATATTGGACGCAGCTAACGCATGGCCGGGCCAGCCTCATGGCTGGCCGATATGGCCTGCGCCCCCACAGCTCATCTTCTTCCTCGTGGCATCTTCTCTCTCTCCATCTACCCTCGCCCCGCCATGGCGCGCTAGGGTTTCACCGAAGCTCTGCCACTCCCGCCCCAACCTGGCTCGGCTGCCCCCACTGTCGTCAGCTGCAGCAGCCTCCAGCCATCCCCACCTCCTAGCCGGCCTTCCTTCCCCTCCAAACCCCTTCTCTTCTAAGGTCGCCAGTGAGGAAGAAGAAAGAAGAGAAGCTCGCCGTGTTGGGGAAGATGAGAGGAGAAAAGTGTCGAAATCCTAACTTGTAGATCCAAGAGGAGGAGGACCCACCTCGCCAGCACCGCCGGCGCCGAAACCCACTACCACTGCCGGAACCGGGCGTCGCGTGGGGAAAGAGCCGGAACCCGCTGCCGCGTAGGGAGAGTAGGAAACGTGTGCACGTGGGGAAGGAGTGCGCGTGCGTGTGCGCCTAGGGAGGAGGCCGTGCGGTGGCCACTTTGCCCTAAATATTTTAGAACCACTTATAATTTAAAATAAAGGGAGTATATAGCACCATAACACAAACATAAATTGTGGTCATGCCGTGGATAAAGAACAAAACAGATGTTATGTATGAAAAAAAAAATAACTTATAATTTTAAATGAATGGACTATATATCGTCACAACGCGAAATATGTCATACATACACGTATGACATGTGTATTTTGATACGTTTCGACCAAACCTTACTAAACCTTGGGCCTAAAGAATTCAAGATCAGGCACACAACAATCTCAAAATGTACCTCTACTCGACTACTCCCTCTAGTGGCATCATATTTGCATATTTTTATAGGAAAAAAATCTAGTTTTCAAAACAAATACACTACGGGACTCAGTGAATTTGCCGAGTGCCAGGGGCACTCGGCAAAGCCCAATTTGCACTCGGCAAAGGCTTTGCCGAGTGCTGCACTTGGCAAAGAGCACTCGGCAAAAAAAGAGTCGGCAAAGACGTCTTTGCCGAGTGTCTTTTATCGGGCACTCGGCAAAGCCTTTGCCGAGTGCCGACACTCGGCAAAGTTGGAACCGAAAAAAAACCCGAAAAAATGGGAATTTTTACCCAAAAAAAATGGAATTTTTTTTTAATTGGTGGAGGCCCCCACCGGTCAGCGCCCATCCATCTCTGGCTTTTTTCGCGTAAATTTCATGGCTACGCGGCCGACGGGATTCGAACCCAAGACCTCTCGCTGCGCACAAACCTCCTCTACCACTACACCACACTGTCACTTGTGTCTAGATTCCGTTTTAGTTCCCAATATATTATACTAAACCAAGTGTAAATTGCTTATTTGAGGCCCTAAATGAATTCAAATCAAAAAGTGGTCAACTACAAAGTTTCATAACTTTTTGAGATCTACAATTTTCATTTAGTAAGTTTTTCCATCCGAGATCGTTTGAAAAATTTGAATTTTAAATTTGAGAGATTCAAACGTAGTTTTGCATGATAAGATGATTTCAAATCAAAAAGTTGTCAACTACATAGTTTCATAACTTTTGGAGATCTACAATTTTCATTTAGGAAGTTTTTTCATCCGAGGTCGTTTGAAAAATTCAAATTTTCAAATTTTCAAATTCAAACGTCGTTTTTGCATGAAAAATGATTTCAAATCAAAATGTTGCCAACTACAAAATTTCATAACTTCTCAAGATCTACAAAGTTTATTTTGGTCATTTGTTCATCCGACATAGTGGTAGTAACATTGTTCACAAATCATATATATCTCTCTTCTATTTTCATGAAATTAATATGAGAGATGTATATTTTATGAACAACGTTATTGTCGCTTTGTCAAATAAAGAAATGACCAAAATAAACTTTGTAGATCTTGAGAAGTTATACAACTTTGTAGTTGAAAAGTTTTTCATTTGAATTCATTTAGGGCCTCAAAAATTGCTTCGAAAAAATGATTTGCCGAGGGCAAAAAAAATGCACACGGCAAAAAGCTTCTTTGCCGAGTGCCAAAACAAAGGCACTCGGCAAAATACATCTTTGCCGAGTGCCAGAAAAAAACACTCGGCAAAGACGTATTTTGCCGTGTGTTTTTGTTTACCGAGTGTATTTTATTTGGCACTCGGCAAACACGGTCTTTGCCGAGTGCCCGATAAAATACACTCGGCAAAGCCTCGGCACTCGGCAAATCGCCGGTTTCCGGTAGTGATACCCTCAAATTTGTAACTTTAAAAAAAAAGAACCAATCAATTTATAAAAGGAAATTTGTAGCTAAGGTTACCTTTGGACCAGCCACCGCCACGTGGACCAGAGAATCCTCCGGAGGCGTAAGGCCCCACCCCGCAGTGAGAGCCATGTGAGGAGGCGGGAGATGAGGAGAGGTAGCAGCAGAAGGGCGGAGGCCGCTCCTCGTCGTCGTCGTCGTCACGTTCCGCGTACGTGTACTCGTGCTGCTGCTGCGCTCGCCCCGGCAGCAGCCTGCCGATCTCCTGCTGGATCATGGCGGCGATCTCCGACGCGTCCCGGTCCGTGATGTCCAGCTCCTTCACCATCTCCTGCGCCACCTCCGCCGCCGTGTCGCTCGCCATGTCGAACGGGAAGTAGATGTTGCGCGCGTGCCCTGTCGCCTCGTCGGCGATCTGTACTTTCAGGAAGATCGTGTCCTCCTCCGCGTTCAGCTTCCCGGTGATGGTCATGACGTTCCTGGGCGGCGGCGGCGGCGGTGGCTGATGTTGTGGCTCCTGATGATGCTCCACGTCGTCATCGTCCAACGACGATGACGCCGAGACGACATCGTCGGCGGAGCTACTACACGTCGAGGGCGGCGGAGCGCCGGCGGCGGCAACAGCAGCTGGCAACGGTGGCGGCGGCACTGGCACCGTGCCAGCAGCAGCAACATGGATGTGGTGATCAAGGAGGAAAGGGTCCAGCAGCAGCTCTGCGGCGGACGGGCGGCTGGCGGCGGGGACGAGGCAGCGTCCGATGAACCTGCGCGCGTCGTCGTCTTCCACACGGTAGAACGCGTCGGGGAGCCTGCCGGCGGTGACCTTCTTGTAGATCTGCGCCGGGTTAGAGCACTCGCTGTACGGGTACTCGACGGTGAGCATCTCCAGCATGCACATCCCGAACGCGTACACGTCCACCCTCTCGTCGTACTCCTCGTCGTACATCTCGGGCGCCATGAACTCGGGCGTCCCGATGACGCTGTGCGCGGCGCCGCCGCGGCGGCCGAGCACGGCGGCGAGGCCCAGGTCGCCGATCTTCACCTGCCCCTGGTGCCCGTTGACGAAGATATTGTCGCACTTGAGGTCGCGGTGGATCACCGGTGGGTCGCGCGCGTGGAGGTAGGCCAGGCCGCCGAGCAGCTGCCGCGCCCACGACCGGACGGCGCGGAGGCTCACCCGAGGGTACCGGAGACGGTAGGAGCGCAGCGTGCCGGAGGAGAAGAGCTCCGTGATGAAGTTGAAGCTGCGGCCCGGCACGTCCACCCACGAGGCGTGGAAGCCGATGATGCCGTCGTGCCGGAGCGAGCTCAGCAGCTGCACCTCCGAGTACATGCGCTTCACGGCGTCCGGCGAACGGAGCACGCCGGCGAGGCTCGCCTGGTTCCACGCCACCTCCACGCCCCGCTCCTCGTCGAAGCCCCGGTACACCGACTTCATGGCGCCTTTGCCCAGCAGCTCATCGAACTGTTCCATATGCATGTATGTACACGTGTCGCCACGTCGACATATATACGTGCAAAATTAAGTACATTGAATTAGCAACAAATTTGATTTGGGAATTATGGATTTTAGTAAGTATTAGCGTTTTATTTATAATATCTCTCTCGGGATTGATTATTCGCATATCATGTTTTTTAGATTAGTTAGTGATGAAAAAGTGGCAACACTTCTTTTTTAATGAAAGAACTCTATTTTTTGGAACCGATTTAGTAATGATATTCTTCTCTGATGTCTTTATCTAAAAAAGAAGGAATTCTACTTTGATGCTAAAATACATACATACACTGTTACTAAACTAACACACATGCAAGGAAGTGCTGAAAAGATGAGGAAAAAAGTCAAGTAGACGATTTGATCTTGATCCCAATGGAAAGAAGAAAAGATGAAGCCCTGCTGCACCATATCTCTAGGACATGGCACGGCAACGGCACATCCTTTCTGAAGCTTTCAAAGCATCTTATTATTGGCATCTTGACACACGCATGCAATGGGAAGAAAGAAAGAAAAAGAGAGAGAAAAACTAAGCTAACCATTGAGCATATCCAAGTTGGGAAAGTTCAAATACCAATCAAACACCTACTCTGACTACCGCAGGATAAAAAGTTGGCACTCTTTTCTGATTGGAAGTGGAATAATCACACAAACAGGGCTTTCACCATCTCAAAATTAATGATGATCCACTAGTTGACCAAGTATAGAATATGTGTTATTGGTATTATTATCATCATCATCTCCTGTAGTATGAACAGCAATAGTTTAGAATTGTTCACACATGCATGATGCCATCTTGTGAATCCATCTGAGCAACTGAATATTAAATCAGTAAAATATGTACGAGCTGTAGATACAATCTCTGGCCTAAATATATGTTTAATGATGTATCTGGTGGTTCAACTTTTCATGCTGCTAATTGTTTGTACTTTATGGCAATCAAGTACAACAGGCGAGATGCTAGCTACGGCAAACAAGATCACCTATAATATTTTTTCTGTTACAAGTTAGGACGAATAGACGATGTACTTTTGTACTGCAATACAGGGAAAAAGGACAGGCTTAATTTATTGTTTAATTTCCATCAAAGAGAGAAAAAAAGTCAGACTACTTTTTTTTTACATGCCTTGACAAATATACGGAGTAGTACTAGTTAACTTACGTACAGTGATTAAAAAAACTGAAATTAAAAAAAAAAGATGTGCAGCTCCTTCGTTTATATAGTCCTATAGGCACGCAGTAAAAGCCAAATGGGGATTGGAAGCAAAAGAAAAAGGCTCAATAATTGTGCCCTGTTTTAGAGGTAGCTCGGATGTGCACATCACTATTGTGGAATAATAATCCATCCTTAAACAAGATGCTTAGAAATATATATGAACTCTACATACTAGCTAGCCTAATTAATGTTGATGGAAACATGGCATAACTATAGTTTTACTAGTAATTATAGAAGGTAGTGCTAATAACAAAATAGAGCTAGGATAAGAATATAGTGAATAGAGTAAAACAAGCATGATTAGACGCTGACGACACTCATAACCAATCTACCAAATTTTGCTGCCTCAAAAGATGATCGAGGTTGTTCATGTATCTAATAGCAATTAGAAGCTAGCTACTATTCCAAATCTGAAGAGCAAGAACATGCATATTTTGAACGAAAAGGCAGAGAAGAGAAGTTCACTACAACACGGGACAAGAACATGCATATTCGTCTATTCAATCACCAATTGGAAGAAGGAAGAGAAAGCAAAAAGAAGAAGGACATGCATGCGTACCCGTCCATAGCGACCGGTCGGGTCAGTCTCGACGTATCCGTTGTCGCCCACCCCCGCCGCCCTCTCCGGCCGCCGGCCGCCGCACCGCCGTGCCGTCGACATGGTCGGCTCCACGGAGCTTTAATTGGTCGGCTCCACGGAGCTTTAATTTATTTCCTTTCCTCCTTGGTTTGGGACTTTGGGTAGTGCAGCAGCACTTAGTTGCACCAGGCAGAGAACCTAACTAGTTAGCTAGTATATGTCTGGCTTGTATGTATATATATATGTAGCCTAATCGATGGATGGAAGCAGCAGAGCAAACTAGAACTGGAAGGGCTTTCGGCGGCCTGCTGTGCTAGAGGGCGCCGGGGAGGAGGTTGTGGCTGTGGTTGTCGTCGTAGGCGAAGAGGACGAAGACTCGGAAGAGGAGCCAGCTGAGGCAGGAGAAGTCGTCCGCGCCGGTCCGCAGCGCCATGGACGCCGACGACGTCCCGTAGGAGGAGGAGGCCCCCGCGTGCGCGTGGTGCGCGGCGCCGAGGCAGCGGCAGGGCCGTGCACTCATCTGACTCTGACGACACCAGGCTGTTATATGTGGCAGGCAGCAGAGACGGAACACGGAAGTGCCGTGCGTGGTGGTAGGCACACACCAACACCAGCAAAAGGCAGAAGCCACAGGCCACAGCAGATGAGAATGAGATGAGGTGACACCAGGACAGGCTAAGCTGAGTGATGTACTGATGTATGGCCGATGGATGGATGGAAGAGGATGCCTCCCTCCAAGCAACTGTGCCTCAGTTTTTTCTTTTCCCGCGCGTGCAGCTGCAACAGGCACCAATCGTGGTAGTCACCACCGTTTGCGTCCCTTCTGATCGCGATCGATCGAGCTGTGCTGTGAGTGACAAGGCCACACAGACACAGTCATACAGCGCTTGAGAGGTATAGATACATAAATACAGAGATTCAGAGAAATGAATTGAAGGGATAGATAAACGATGGAAAACTACCGGCCGGTGCAGGGAATCTGTATGTTCCTGAGTAGCCAACAAGCAGTCGACCTCGCTCGTCCCTGCCCTTGCTGCCACCTGGAATTAAAGACGACTATGTGTGGAAGAAACGAAGGGAGGGGAGATTTTCGCTTCTCTCTGATCAGATCAGCTGGTACGTTGAGCTAGCTCGCTAGCTGATGAGATCCTGCAAGTTCCGTTTGCAGTGCAGCTGCAACTACAAGGATCTGAACTTGAAGAATCTGTGCCTGGGAAGAAGCATCTTCGATCTGCGTGTGTGCGTGTGTGTGTCTGCGTGTGGTGTGGTGGATTTGATTTGCCTGCTGGAATTTGTGTGCAAGAAATGGGCCGGCAGAGAGTTGGAGCTGCAGTGATTTTGGAATGCCTTTCTCTGAGAGGGGTCGAATGGTCGATGATGCAGGTGCTTCAGTTTAGAGTTGAAATGGAATATGTAGCAGCGGTTGAAGGTGGTGGGTGGGGGGAGCCTAAAACAAAGTTATGTCAACCAATTCAACTAGTAATAATAATACATACAATGCGTATGTCGCGCTCTGATCTGGAAAAATATTAAAATGAGTGCAAGTTTGTTTTCTCAATAATACTGGTGATGATTCTGCTTGGTTGACTTTGCTCATTACTACTACCAATTTCTTCAGCAAGCTCTGGCACCTTATTATATTCTCTTATCTGCAATTCATTTGTTGATATAAGGAATATCATTGCTAATGCTATTACGATGCTACGCAAAATATAATTTGCTCCACCTTATTATTGCATTATTGTGGCACTACTAATATATCAGGTTAGAAAAAAAACGTGGCATGCATATATTCAGGAAATTATATAGTGGCCATCTTTTTCATTCATTCAGGGTTCAAGATTCCTCATGATGAATCGTTTTCGTTTTCATGGCCAAACAGCCACATTGTGGGGTACGAGTAGCACTACCACCACCGGCTCAAACCTGAAGACGGTTCCCCACTGATGGCGACACAACTGCTCCTTATTAGCAATGACCAATCATGCATACGACGTCTTCAAATGGAGTACGTGTAAGGCCACATGTCTCTTCTATCTATGAGAACAATCCAGCCTGGATTATCTACACAACAAAGAGCATGACCGTTTGCTGAGCCTAACTCAAATGGTTAGGTTCTTCTTTCTTTGTTTCTTGAACTAATTTTGCACTTTGTTCCTTTCTGTTTTCAATAAATACTGTAGGGGCCAAAGCCCCTCCAGATTCTAAAAAAAAGTTGGTTAGGTTTCTTGTGTTGGATCGTGTCCATCTGGGTTGAGTTACTCGTCTGCAAGGGGGTTTCTGGTGTTTTCACCAAAATATCACAAAGACATTCGTGGAGGTAGAATATGTGCGTGTAGGTAAGCATCTATTTTGTGTATTGCAAAATAAAACACAAGATAATAACCACTTTTAATTTGCAATATATCAGGGATCATATATAGTCTATCTGTCAAAAGTTAAACTATCCTAGTTTCACTAAGTTTATGGAGAAAATATCGACATTTATGATACAACTGGAATTGTGATACGAAATGTTGCTTCATCACCATCCGTAAACTATTCAACACCTTTTTTTCCAATGTTATTATGCTAAGTTCTTGTGGCGTCATTGTACACTTAATGTTTGGGTTATCAACCCCCCCCCCCTCAAAGATATACATGATTTATTTGTTAATTGGTCTAAAGCGGGTGGTAACATACATAATTCATTGTTATTAACTGCAGCGTCAGCTTTATGTTGGACAATCTGGTTAACAAGAAATGAAGTAGTTTTTGACAAATGCAGACCGAAAACTTTTTTGCAGGTGCTATTCAGGGGAACCCATTGGCTATGGCAATGGGCAAGGCTGCAACGGCGTAATGATCTACGGGATCGGCTGATTTTTATTGGGCAGCATCTGGAGACATCAATATTGCACTTCTTTAATTCCAATGAATGGTTATTGACTAGGTTTATTGGTCTTCATTAGTCAGAACTTTACTTCCCGCTTTGTTTTCCTAGTGTCTACTTGTAAGCTTGTGATCCCTGTGGGTTGTGTGCTGGTCGCTGTACCGAACTTTATAATAATTGGCCTGATTCTACCCTGAGGTAGATGAAGCCGGATATAAACTATCCTTTATCTAAAAAAAATAGATATACTATGAAATACATTTTGAGAAAAGTTAATGCTACTAATTTAATATAAAACATTAATATCAATTTAATTACGATGGTTTGACTTAAGACGCAGCTAGAATGGTAGTCTTTTTCAGGATAAGAGTGGGTACAAACTAGCTTCTCCTGTATATATGGATGGTACTAGCATCTGTACTGTCCCTACCAAAGTACAATTATTTTGCTAAATAAACTATGTGTGCAAAATGATCGCTGTCTGCTTATGTGGCAGACACGAGAGACAAAACTTTTGAGCTGGACGACGTGGCTCTTTGACAAAAGTTCAGTTAGCTAGCTGCAAACCACAACTTCAAAGATTGGCTTAGTACCCAGGCAAAATGAATTTTGGGCCCCAGTATGACTTGACACCTGCTGCCACTAGCTATGCCCAGCAGTCAGCACTCGGCAGACATACCATGCCCCTCAATAATTCATAAAGATCCAATATAAAGATCAACCTCCATCGACTGTGGAGCTTGAGCTGTTGAGGCGCAGCCGCGGGTCTTCGACTGACGATGAAGGCCATAACGTTTAACCTCTATTGGTTGATGTGTCCCTATTGACATAATTGGAGGCGCGGTTATGCATCCCGCTCGAGACCCCTTTGATCAGCCAGCCGAGGTTGAGGAGGTTCAGGACACCTTCAACGGTGTTGTCGGTGCGTCAGAGTGGGAGGCTTGCTGCTAAGGCCAAGGCCTCCAACCCGACTGTCCAGGCACAAAACGTGCTGAAGCAAAAGCTAGAGATCGCAAACATGGCGCAGAGTCCGAGCTCTGCGGCCTTGACAAGATATCAAGACCTTCTTCATTTGAGCCGTTGTCGCCCTCAAGCAGGAGACCCTTCATGCATTCTTCGCTCCAGATTCGATCCGGTGGCCATGGAGCTCAACCTCACGAGCTTCGAGCAGGACGCTTTTTAGCCACTGGGTTCACGGACTGCTGTGTTTGTTTGTCCCTTTGCTTGGTCCTCTGCGCGGCCGCTACATAGTTTCTTTTGTAATCACAACTGTGTGAGCTCTATCGGTGTTGGGTTCGGTAACCACAAATTACCGTCCCAGTTGTAATAATTTATAAAACTCTCCTTCTGCTTAATGAATACCGTGCCAATGGCACGTTCGAGAAAAAAATATATAAAGATCAAAATTGTTATCCACTAGGGGATCAGAATGCTGTGACAGATTGTAGCGCTAAGTCAACTCTGCAGCGTGTCACGATTTTGGTGCAATTGGGATCGGAGGAGCGAAAAATGGCCCTTGAAGAAAGAATCGCCACAAAATTTGTCTAGATATAACAAGCATAAGGGTCAATTGTTCATTTGACCCCGTTGACTTGGGAGCCAAGTGCTTCTGTAAAAAGAATCAACTTTCAACAAATTGAAGAGTCAAAATTTGGTATTTGACTCTTATTATTTCCTCTAAAAGGAGCAGGTTGTTGACTGTGAGAATGTCTTTTTCTGAAGGTGGAACACCCAGGAGCTGTCTAGCCACCGTGGATCAAGTTTTTTTTTTCATACTATCAAAAAGGCGATATAGGAGGAAACATGTTTTAAGACACGGTGGATTTATTTTCCTTTTACAAGGGGAATGGAAACCAAGCGCACCCTAAATGAACCATTTTGCATGACTCAGTCCACATCTTCTTATTCTGCCCCTGCAGCTCCTGAAGGCCCACCTAATACAAGAGCAGCTTGGCCAAATCAAATCTTAAATTTTCTAAACATTGACTGCAATAATAGAGTATGTAGTAGAATCTACTGTTAACATCTATACGTCCCACCCCCAATTCATCAATCAACACTATAAAAGTGAGCATAATTGAAGTGCATACGTACAGCATGTTAGTTAGTTTGACCTCAGTCTATAGGTACAATATTTTGTGGAAATAATTGCTACTTGTTTACTGCAGTGTAACATCACATATGGAAATAAATAAACAGAATTATTGGTTATCAGTTGTGGTGAAATGGGATAGACAATATCCTATATGGATCAGATGACATATGCGTGGAAAATCGCGATGTGTTCCTCTACAATCTAATAATTCACAATAGATATGTTCCACTTTTGTATGAAAAAAGAAATAAAGGGGTTGGTATGATAAAAGATGAGCAATATCCGCACCATATTTGTATCCAACAAGATATCTCAAATATTCAACAAACTAACAAAATGAATGCTTTTTTTAAAAAGAAAAATGGATTTTTACCCACATTTTTCAGTTCACACAAGTGCAATAAAATGTCCTTTAAAACATGCAATGGGGTTTCTTGTTTATCCATCTACTGAACCTTTCAGGCCGGTGTGACTTGAAAGTAAAAGGCCTCTGCTTCCCTACATGCTAGATTTCGAGGTTTGGATTGGGTGAGGTTGGTTGGCAGTTTATGCTTGGGCCAATTATTGCAGTTTGAAATTTTGACTAATCCATTACATGCATCATGCATGTTTGGTGAGTCTACCAACGAGCCCATCCTGAAAGAGACACACAATGAGAATATTAGCAGAGCAGGTTGGCCCAAGCAAATTGTTTTGAAAGGAAATCAGGCCTTCACTATATACAGACACTTGCACCCTTTGGATGACCAGGGTTGCAGTACGACCTAAAGTACTCCTAGAAATAATTCAGAATTGATCAGCCAATTTATCCCAGTTCAAATTTAAAGCACTTCTAGAAATAATTCAGAATTCATCAGCCTATTTATCCCAGTTCAAATTTAATATTGCAGGTGCATCCATCGAGTCAGAATCCTGATTCACATGTAGACACTTTCTTTTGGCAAATATGGTTAACAAAGAATATCAACAAGTTTCATATTTCATTTTAGTGACATGATAGAGAATGTTTACGATGTTTGAATATATTTTTTTACTGGACAGTGCAGGTTTTTTTTTTTTCTTTTTACCTGAGAAAATGAGACATTGAGCTTCAAGACAGCATAATGCTAGGTTACAAATGGGACAGATTATGCATATACAGGAACACACAACAAAGGCATTTTCGGTTGGCAAAGACTAAAGCTTCTTTTAAGACTAGTAAGTTTAACACATTCTGCATCACCTAATCCATTTTAAAGCAGCTAAATTAACTTCGAACATTGGGGCCTTTCAACACAAGACCTCCCTCCCTCTACATGCAAAAAGGGGCTACAACTCTATCCTCATTACACGTGGACATGGACAAAATCCAGTTCTCCAATGAGCAATGATCCTGAGGTCAAAACAACAAAACTAGCTAGCTCTTATAATCCGTCTTTTTCAGCTTGTTTTTTCAGCCGAAACAATGTTTTTCTCTCACAACAAATCAGCCAAACAGTATTTTGGCTAGTTTTTTCAGCAAAGCGAACGGAGCCTCTGTTACTTTCCCTAGCATATCTGTTCCCCTTCGAGGGACGCCATAATCTGTAAAACTGAAACAAGGCCACAAGGGGCTGTACCCCTAAAAGTATCTACATGTCATCCAGTTTCAGAGCCCTTTTGCTTTCCTTTTTTCCCTTCCATTTCTTGTTCTCCTTCTCTCTTTTTTTCTTTTCTTTTTCTTTTTCTTTTTTACTTCTCTTTTCTCGCAAAAAAGCTCAGTTACAGAAAGCACAGGCTGCGTTGCAGTGACAGTGCTTATGGCAACTCAGAAAAAGGAAGAAAAAACAGGATGTACAGCGTGGTTTATGCGTTTGCCAAAGAACTCGGCGCCCTGACATGGTGTCCCATTCCTGCGTCAGGAGCACACCATTCATCATTATCCTGTTGCCTCTCATACACACAGAATCGACATCAACTGGATAGTGGCGGGAAGTCACCACTGTCCTTGAGACGGTATGGTTGAACTTGAACATTCCTGCAAATCGTATGGTATATGTGTTCAGCCATTGTAAACTCTGGAAATTGAGTGGAAAATCTTCAAGGTGAAACTCAAAAGGAGCGCAGTTTCAAGCTCAACTTTCAACAGAGGAAACAGACATGGTTAGAGTTAGCCAAAAGCATGTCTTAATTCCAACTAGCACAACATCCATGGATTTGAGAACTTCACATATATACCCCAAACATGGTCTAAATAAGCAAGTAAAAATCTGTCCAAACACATCTGAAAAAACCTCTTGCAAATCCAACGATATCTAATATTTGTTGACCTTACATGATAATCATGTAGCCAATGGCAATTTAAATTATCTCACATTATTTGTAACTACCAATTAAAAAAACCTAAACAACACGTAATTGAAAGTTTAGGGGCTACAGTATAATTTACTTCATATATCAATTGCCCAAAAGTGAACAATAAGAGCATCTAGATAATTTTACAAAAACACCAACCTAACAAAGAGCCAAATTTATCTCATTGTTTGTAGCATGGAAATGTCCACTAATTGCATGTTTCTCCCTTGAATACGCAAAGGAGAGCTGATTATCATTATATTAAGAAGAAAAGGGGTTGGAACCCGTACAACACTCACTCACACCAAACAATAGACTAGCATACTAATTGCATGTTCTTCCCATCAGATAGTAATTGTTGGTATTGGCAACTAAAATATCGCAACACACTTACCTCATTCCATTGGGACCCATTCCAGTGTTTTTCGCCACAGACATGGGACTCACAGTCACAGGCCCAGAACCTTGATTGTTGGAGGCAGAACCTGATCTGCTAGCATGCTCTTTGGAGGCAACTTCCCTTGGCAACGCCCCCAAGGTCCCAAACTCAAGTTTACTGTCTTGCAAGAGCATAAAACCATTGCCATGAAAATTATCCTTTCGAACCTGGGAAGATGGAGAATGCATTGGTACATTCAAAGGATCCCTTGGAGACTGGGAAGATGGTGATGGTATTAGTATATTCATTGGAGATGGGATTCCATGATCATTTGCACTAGGAGCGTATATCTGCAGTGGTGGCTCATGCCTCAATTCGTCAAAAGGTATCATATCTACAGGCATATCCGGTCGGACATGGTGGTGAAACTTTTGATAATTATTCTGATGGGAATGATTCCTTCCTCTCTCCCCGCGGGGGGGAGGTGGTCTTTCCTTGCGCAAATTCTGAAGTGTGCCATGAGGCAGACAAAATTAGCATGAATACAAGACAAAACTGTCAAGCTATAAAAATTTGAGGACAAACCTAGGAAAAGTAACACTTCTGAAGTAAAAAACAGAAGCATAATGGACAAATCATTGCATACAAAAGAATAGTAACTCATGAAAACTGAATTACAAGAAAACTAGCATGTCTGTTCACACGTACAGCACGAGGAATGAAGAAAACGAACATATGAACAAGTACCAGATGTTCCTTTAAGTTTTAAGAACATAAGATGAATGCTCATGGAGGGAACGTACTGGGTCAGGAAAGTAGGTGCCTGTTCCACGAGCCCTCGTAGCCATATGATCATCTGTTTGATACAATGGCCTATACACAAAATAGCCAGGTGGATAAACAGGACCAGGGACGACTCCATTCCTACGAGCATATCCATACGGATTTTTTCTGCCATGGCCATTTGATGGGTGCATGTTCTGATATTGCAGGGGTGGTGGCATAGGCATTGGATAGTATAACTGAGTCGTAGGACTGTCCTGATGGAAACCCCGTGCATACAGAAGATTATGCAAATTTGTATCGAAATCTCCAGTGAGATTTGGCTCTGTGTCATTGGTGGTACCTCCAGGTTGTGTATCTGATGTTGAAACTGAATTAGATGTGCCCAGACCATCAATTAAGCCAGTAGAATAGGAGTAAGCATTATGCTTAGCATTGTCAATATAGTGGTGAGACCTGCCTGGAAACTGCTTTGCTGAAACCCCATGGTATGATGGGATTGTGTCATTTCTAACATAAACCTTCTTGCCGGTTTCTGATTGCAAGGTACAGGTTTCACTAGGTGTTGGTGAAGCTTCAGAGAAGTCACCACCACCCCTTAAACTTACTGAATCAGTAGCTGTGTGACTCGTGGCATCACTATCTAGCAAACCCCAAGAAACAGATTTTATCTCCTTGTGGTCAGCCATAGAGTTACATTCTTTTTGCTTTACTGGGCCATGATTGTTGGAATCTGAAATGTTGATGTTACTGAGATGATTAGACAGAACATCGCAGGAATTGTTGGGCGTAACCTTGTTGACTCTTTCCACATCTAAGACTGATGATACAGGATCATTTGTAACAAGATCAGAAGAGCTCACCCAAACATCTGGCCTTAAACCAGTACGGTTTCTCTTTAGAGTGTTCCTGAAAAACTGATTGACTTCACTGACAGTGAGACAAGAAGGCACTTGAAGAATCTTGCCAAGCTTACGAGCACCAAAATCAAATGCGCTATGATCCGGTAAAGTTTCCTGCGCGGAGCAGTGCAATAAAGATAAAATTCTTTTAGAAAAGAAATATTAGAATGAAGCACTTCAGCTGTGTACCACAAGAAAGCTATTCCTGTAAATCAAATGAAAAGCATAAATACCCACGAACTCAAAACATAATGAGATCAGTACCCATGTTCTGATGGAGAAATGGCAGCAGCATGTGATATTAATGTAAAAGAGAAATGGTGAAAAGGTGTTGCAGATTGTGCTTACTGCTTAGGCGCAGCACAATGGGTGGCTGGTAAGTGAGTGTAGACATACTATATTCTTAAATGGCAACAGTTTCTTCTATGCAAAACTGAAATGATAACTCTTGGGTGTGCATCAGCAATGTAGAAGAACGGCAGTCAATACAACATTAGGTAGCAAGAATTATAGATTTGAAGTTTTGGACAGGGTAGATATGGAAGCAGCATATTTGAATAAGCACTTACGAAGCAGTACAACAATGGATGAGGGCAGTCCACTTCAATCACGCATTAGGTGAAAAGATAGTGTGATGATGTAGGCAAAAGGATTCAATGAGACGAGGTCATAAAACCACAAATCATGAAATGAAACATTTTGTAAATTTTGCACAGACAGTTCAAAAGTTTAGCTGAGCAGTCTGTGGAATAAATATTCAAACTTGACAAAAACAAGTGAAGCAGGATTTTTTTTCTCTGACTGGCACTGTAAGTCCTTATGCAAATGGGCTCATACAAAGGTTTAAGGTTGGAACATCAAGTTGAGAGTCTTATTGACAGATTTAATTGACAAGAGAAAATTCAGGAATACATTATTCATTTCTATTATCATAATTGATGATCCAGAGGCAGGAGCAAACCTTTACTGACACTGCGTCCAAGGTTATTACTCTGCTTTAGTGGATCAACTATATTTAGAAATCTTCGTGAGAATACTCTAGGATTTGTCTCGGAATTTCTAGGGAGAACACTAAAAGACTCTGTGCATTCTTTTAGAAACTCCTCTCGTTGAAGAAAATCATCATCTTCGGTATCTGGTGGGTCAGCTGTTCAACAAAAGCATGTCAATGACCAATAATTGCAATCGAAAATAGACAACATTCTGCACACTTAAGAGTGCATTCACTTACTAACTAGCTCAGGTAGTGAAGACAAGGAAACAGATCCAAACAAGCTGATCCCCTTATTGTCCCAATCAAATTTACTATAATAGTCAAGAAATCTATAGAGGACCTGCAGAAGGGCATGTAGTCATCACACCCATAGGAAGGTATGTATCATGAAGAATGTCAATATAACATGGCAAAAAAAAGCAGCAGAAAAATTTAAGACATAACTTACAGCCAATGGACCATCCAAAGACTTGTGGAAGATATGGAAAATGTATAAAACTAAAGTCTCCAAGGCATATGTGGATATTAGACCATGATGGGCACCAAGAATACGGCTTTCGTAATAGCACCAGTCTTTGACAAGCATTATGCTTCTCTTAAACAGGTGATTCTTTCCAAAGTTTTGATCGACCTACAGAAAAATTATTTATTATCAATATGCTTATCACTATGCAGTATGACATAAGGAACCACAAAGTGGAACTAATCCTCTTAGATCCTATGTATAGTAGGAAGGCAAGGGAACATTTTTTTTCATCTTATTAAGAGTATCAAATCTGAGTTTTATGGACAAAAAACTACATAACTCCATCTTTATGGCAACATTTGAAATATTACCTTCTCAAGAAAACATAGTGTGCACAGCCCACCAATCTGATTAACTGAGATGTCTACGACAATGTTTTGTACCAAACATTTAACCAGCTTGACCTGCCACCAGGGAGATTTATGATCAGACAACAATATGTGAAACAAGAAGTTCGCATGTGCCCAAAATTTGTCCCTAGCCAACACATACAAAACAAGATGGATTTCTCCACTAATATATGCCACACTACTGTGCATAGCAAGAGTGCAAGAACCCTCAAAAACAGCGATTGAAAATGTTATGAGTATTGGTAACTACTTTTTTCCTTTTTATAGTCAGCCAGTACCTGATGAAATATTGGCATATTCATAATTCCATATGCTCCAAAGATGTAATACGCAAGATGGAGAAGAGTTGCATTTAAGTACAATAAAATGGTATTTCTCCAATTTTACATAATGTGCACAAATAAGCACTTATAAGTAGAATGTAGGAATTGTAAAAGTAAGTTCATTAAACAAATGGAATGCATACAAAACAACCACCTTCAATAAATGAAAACTCTAAAAAGATGGTTAGTGATGGTTGACCTCAAATTAAATATATTCGAAACAAAGAGCAATATGGTACCTATAAAAAAAAGATTGATATGGCAGAGTGAAATACCTCAGCAGGGACATAATGGACATCCTTGACTTCAAATTCAGAATCTTTCCTTCGCTCTTCCGATTTTAGAATAGCACATACTTCATTTGCTAGATTCTCATCAGAAATCGCTGGGCCGAATAATGTCAAGTCAATATCTCCATCAGGAAGATATGTTTTCAATGGAACAGATCCAAATGGAAAGACCTATTTTCACAAACACAGGAGGTTAGACTGTAGGTCTTTCTGTCTGACATGGCATTACAATAGCAGCAAGAAAGCACCAGAGCAGCACAAAATTTGGTAGAACAATGATATTTCACTCATGTGCATGTACAGAAGTGCCACTAGTAGTAGTCAGATGTTATACATGTGAACATCTGGTAGAAGCAAACACGTAATGCGCCTAATTGATTTACTGATTTCATAAATAGTTCAACTTAACCCTCTGTGCCTTGTATCCAATCTCAAGTTTTAACAAACGTTTGCTAGGTCTCATGTGTCCGCTTGTACAAACAGCAATAAGAAAACAACCTCCATAACACAGCCAGCCAGAAAACATCAAGTATTAAAGTATCACATGATAAGATCCTAGATTTATTGACTGGTTCGCTCCTAAGATAGGATCTTTTTCGTCCAATATTCACATTCCATGATTCTAGCACAAGTTTGGTAAAATCATAATAGCAGTTTAAATACAATCCTACCTGATTCGACCAATCCTAGTACGCAATTATGAATAAAGGTCCACCTTTTACTCACTCATATATTTAATTATTTGCATAGGCAAGGAGAGAGAATTAATCTGGACTATTATTTTACATGCTTCTAATCTAATGTACAATGAAAGAAATTTATTATTGAATGAATGACATGGTATATTTTAAATGCTACATGTGTATCTCAGATTAAATCAGGCAAGATCTTAGATTCTATGATTCAATCCTACAATTACATCCTAACAGACCATTCCAGCTGAACTCAAGATGTTCTGACTTGACTGGGGCATAGCAGACATGCAGCTGTTCCTTCTCGGGTAACATGAGTAACCTATGGAGTTCCACGTCACAGAAAAAGAAGACAGTAAGATACAAGGTATGTCCAGCCCTCCAATCCACGATCATCAGTTTCACTGTGTTTAATGTGATAACATGCCTCCAACAGCCAATTCACAGTCCCATTAAAGGTCCTCCCCGCCGAAGCACGTGGAGGCTCAAGCGCGCAACCGACAAAGCAAATCAGTACGACTCTGTACTCATTCACCAATAAACACTTGACACCTCAAGTACCCAGCAAAAAACGGCAAGGGTTTGAATATACATACCGGTTTCGCGTGGCAATCACTAGGGTTAGGAAAATCACATGCCAGAGACAGCAACTAGAGCACAGCTAAGTGAAATCACAAGCATGGTAACTAGCAACTCAGCAGTAAGCAGTATGAAGGAACATGTAATGTGTATCTTTAGCTTCAATTCGATGACCTCAATTCCTAAAATACGAAAAATGGCACTAAAACTCTATGTATTCCTCCTAAAGCACCTAAACAACCATTTGCATAATCTGAAGAATGTGATGGCTCATAGCACAACAGATGCTGATAAAAAAAAAACTAGGTGTTTCACTCGCCCATGCAATTGAAGAATCGACGAGCCTTTAAGCTACAGAACACTGAGACCGCAAACAACTGTAGCAGGGAAGGTGAGGGGAATGAATGAATACCTGATACCGGGCTTGGAACCAGAAGAGGCGCTGGACGTACTCGATGACGGCAGCGCGGAGTTGCTCGGAGGCGGCGGTGGGCTGGATCTTGTTGACCACGGCGAGCGCGGCGGTCTCGAAGCGCCGCCACGCGTCCGGGGACACGGACGCGGGGTCCGGGTGCGCCGGCACGGACTCGGGCACCGGCGAGCACTCGCTGATGTCCACCATGGCCACCCCCGGGAGAGAGAGAGCCGCTAGCCGCTTGCTTCTTCGCCGGCGCTGGAGGAGGCGCCGCCTAGCAGCCGCTGGAGGAGGCGGGCGACTTGAGGGTTGAGGCTATGCAGGAACCGCCGTGCTGGAGGCGGCGGTGCAGGAATCGCCGTCGACCGAGCAGGAACGGACGGGAAGGTGGGCGGGGGCTATCGGTGCGGGCGAGGGGCCGCGATCTGCGCGCCGCCGGCCGCGAGGTAGGGCAGGGGACGGAAGAGGGGGAGAGCTCGGGATTTGGGAGCAGGGGAGCGGGGGGGATTTTAATGCGAGCAGAAAGAGGGAGAAAAAGGTCAGTTTTTTTTTTCTTTCGGCGGGCGTCCGTTGCTTCGCTTTCCTCCTTGCCTCCACTTCCTCCTCGCTCGCGCCTGCGCCGCGAGGATAGAGATGACGCTGACGAGACGCCTGCCTGAGCCGCCGGAGGAAGAAGACGACGAAGACGAAGAGGAGGCTTCAAGGCACGATTTCCTTTTCGCCTTTTTTTTTCCTTTCTTTTTTTTTTCTTCGATTCGATCGATCCAAATTCGGCGGCCTCACTTCACTGGCTTATGGCGCGATGGATGATGTGATGGGTTTGCCGTTGTTGCTTGGTTTCTAATGCGGTTTGTTGTTTGTCACGGATCGAGCTTGCGTCGTCGTTCGAGAATGCCTCTCCATCCCCGTCCCCGCGGGGAGAAAAAGTCCCCGTCCCGTCCCGCCAAAGCTCACGGGGACACTTTCTCCCATATCCCCATCCTCGCATGTGGAAAATTCCTCGTCGGATCCCCATCTCCGCATAGGCATTAATTTATCGCCATTCACGATCGGTCATTTCATCACCAATTACAAAGGTCATCAATATAACATTAGAGTACAGCACGGATCACAATCTAGAAATTGCTAAATAGCAAGAAGAAACACATTAATGAGCATGAACGGGTGGTGTTGGGATTTGCTGACTAAAATTTAGGAGGTGTGTTGGGAGAATGTTGCATGGGTGTTCGGATATTAATAAAAAAATAAATTATATAATCCGTCAGTATTCCACGAGTCGAATTTTTTAAGCCTAATTAATCCGTCATTAACATATGTTTACTGTAGCATCATATTGTCAAATCATAGACTAATTAGGCTTAAAAGATTCGTCTCGCAAATTAGTCGCAAACTATGCAATTAGTTTCGTAATTAGTCTATATTTAATACTCCATACATGTGTCCAAACATTTAATGGGACAACGACTAAAATTTAGAAGGGGCAACCAAACACCACCTATGTCTTGATCTTAAGCTCCAGTGCCTACCTGCTTCAAGAAACCACCGTTGGCCTAGGGGACCCGCGCTGCACGCATTACTGCTTGTAGGGTGCCGCGTGCTGTTGCCGTTAGGGAGCCACACGTGATGCTCCTCTGCTGCCGATGGAGAGCCAAACGTGGATGCGCCGTCGCTGTTGGAGGGTCGCGCGGGTGCTCCCATGGGGTCACCTTGTGGACTGCAGTAGTGCGCGGGGTGTGGTGCAGGCGGCATGCGGTTAAGCAATGTGGCAGCGGCGGGCGAGACAGGGAGAGGAGAGGATGAGGACTAGGGGGCAGTTAAGTTTTCTGCTGCTTATATATATGTATGTTCGACTTGGGCTTTGATGCGCCGAGTAAACAGGTTGTATAGGCTTTGAGAAACGGGGATGGGGGACAATCTACCAGACCCGGCCCCATTAGACCCGACAGGGGAAGATTTTCTACCATTTAAATCCCCGTGGGGGGTTAATTGATCCTATCCCCATTCCCTAGTAGGGGAGTTCCCTGCGGGGAATCGAGGATCGGGGCCCATTGCCATCTTTAGTCGTCGTGGGTTGAACGAGGAAAGCAGCCTTGATTGATTGGCTGATTGCAATTGCAATTGCAATTCGCGTCGACTCGTCCCCCTTTTCTCACCGGTGTTCCTGTTCCTTGGAGGAAGAAGTCAAAGCGATTTGAGATTGATGACACACGTGAAGGAGAAACCGGCTGGCTTAGCGCAGCGCCCATCGGAATTGAAATGGTACTCTTCCCTGCCATTATCTTGAACACATCAGAAAGTTGGTAAAAATTCTTTTTTTTTGTTTTTCTTGAAAGACGAGAGTTGGTAAAATTGTTTTTTTTGTATATATGTATACACATTCGGATAGACATAATTCTTGCTTGTATCATCCAACTTAATATAACTTTTATAATGTAACATTTCAACATAAAACTTCACAATTTACCAAAACGCAATACGAACAAGTTAAAAGGATCTTATATGTGCATCTTAGATGAAAATTAATAAGTATGTAATTTCCTTAAAGTAGCTTTTTCACAAAATGCTAGGGTGGTGCATGGTGCTTTAGCTCCATCATTACAAAAAGAAATATAGTGGTAAATAAGTTTGACATCATCACCGTTGTTTTACAAACTACGTGATGTGGATCGACCAATTTCCCTTGAAAGCCGTAGCTTAGTTCAGCTTTGGGTTATGTGGCTAAAAGATTAGTGGTGCATAGTATGGTATATGCATGATACATAGAAGGTTTAGTGGCACCGCGGACTATGGCGCTATCATGCTAACTTGTAGAAAAAAGTTCTCCATAGGTATATGAAAAATTATAATAAAGAAAGTATGGATCATGCACCATACTACACGAGACGAGTATAGATCTACACATCAACATTTTTTGGTGGATGTTTGCATTTAGGGGTGCTATAGAATTTACATCTACATTTTTTCAGGGTGGATGTTTGCATTCATTTTTAGGGGTGCTATAGAATGTATTCATGTTGTATCCAACCGCATCTAGCTATGAGTTTGCTTCATGCTATGGTTAACAGATAAGACAACATGCAATGACAAGCCGAAAAAGTTATGGATGCAATAAGAGGAGCATTGCCCAGGCTACTAGAGAGGAGGTAGGTTGTCGAAAATTGATTAGAGGGTAACTAGTGAGGAGGGCTACATGTATCTTGGCATGCTTCTACCTCATATGGAGTTTTACCAGGTGACATAATATAATAATAGAATTATAAGAGATATATACATGAATCACAATACAAACACAATCGCTCACGTGCACACTCACCTATGGATGCACGCATGCACACCTTATGCCTATGATCACCTATGAAAGATTGAGCTAATAGATCACGAGATTAAGTCACCATATGCACTTCATTATCGATGGGTATGACGCATACCACCGAAATATGTTATTAACTCGTGGAATAAATCCAAAAATACGAGCACTCACTTCAAGTGGGGACTTGAATTTGGGTCGGTAGGTTCCACTTCCACCAAAAGAAATCTAATAAGGGAGGTACACTCAGTTCATAAGATACACAATATAACTTAGAAGTAAAAAATGTTACATCTAATACAACCTTTTTTAATTTAACTTATAAGAAAAATACTCCATTCTAATAATGAAGGAAGTTTAATTTCCTAGCATCTGATGAAGAGGTGGATATGTCATCATGAGAGGTAACAATAAGATAAAGGGCGTACCAGGTCAGAGAGCTCCCGCCTGTGCGGAATCTGGGGAAGGGTGTTAGTGGCAAGCCTTACCCTCGCCTGTGCAATGCGAGGAGACCGCGACTCGAACCCAGGATCTTCAGGTCACAGGCGGTAAAACTCTACCTCTTGCACCAGGCCCGCCCTTCTAAGATAACATTCGAAAAAACACAGCATTGTGAGATGTATGTGTTAAGTACCCTATAGCCCTATGAGCACCTTTATAGGATTGAGTTTGGACCAGTAAATCTCAAGATTGATGAAGTCATTACATATATCACGCTATTGATTTTGACACGTCTATATAACATAAAATTCATTTTATGTTATTGTCTATGCTCATGCTACTAGCATTTGCTTTGGACTACTATTAAATCTCTAATTTTGTTTAAGTGGTAACGGTGTGTGTATATAGTAGTTGTCGAACCGAGACGAAGGCGTGAATGGTTTTTAGTTGTGCACAAGGTTAGCTCATTGTGGACAGCATAGCTAGGCATATAAAATTTCTTTTGTTGCATTTTTGTTCTTCATAGGAAAATGTCTAGATCAAGAAAATGTGACCATGGATAATATTTAATATTATAATAGATGTGATTGACAAAGACTTTCACCATATAATTATGGTGTTCTATCTATGAAAATGATGCACATACTCGAATCATAATTTGTTGTGTGGTAAGATAGGTCAAGCAACACTGGCACCTCATTTTCTTCACCCTTTTATGTAAGTGGAAATTTTTCCAGACTCCACACTCCATTAATAGCAAGCAGTAGTGACAAATTAAATATTCCATTATAATGAGAGCGAGCAACGCCAAGACTACTAGAGAGAAGGCAAGTTGTGGAGAAGTGCACGAGAAAAAGGCAAACTTGTGAGGAGGGCTAGCTATATCTCGGCATGCTATAAACTTATTAGCTCACATATGATATAATGTACTCCTCCATTATAACCTAGAAGACTTTTTGCATTGGCTTTTTTTAGATACATTTTTACTAATATTAAAACATAAGCATAGTGTATATATCCAAGTACATAGCAAACAAAAATATATCTAAAAATTAAAAACGTCTTCTAATTTAGAATAGAGGGATTAGTATAGTTCTAGAGTTAAAGGAGTAGAAAGAGATATACTATAAATGAAATTAGGCGCGACAATACTGCTTGCCTCTTTAACGAAGGAAGGTTTAATTTCCTCTAAAGCAGCCAATGTGGAGGTTGATACGACGTCTTGAGGGTTGAGAGGCAACAAGTTATGACAACACGCGAAGAAAAAGGATACGCGAGAGGTATGTATGTCCCAACTTTACTATCACTTTACCTGCTACATTATACTATATATAACATGAATTTCATCTATTTTTAGTGCCTATGGCTATATATGCTTACGTATGGTATTACTTTCACCAACTAAATTCAATCTCTAATTGCTTAAATGGTAGTGATGCGTATATCATGTTGTTGCTAA